TAGACCATGTTATCAGACCAAACCTTTCCTGTGTCCCCTTGTGACGTGGTAGAATTGGAGAAAGTTGTACTGCTCTTTTCAGCTTGGTTATTTGTCATACAGTATTCTCTTATTGGAAACATGTTCTTGTTGTCATCGTTGTGGTCCTTTCTTGTCATATGTTTTGCCTTTTGTGGCCCCAAATCCCTATAATTTGGAGGGTTAACTTGCAGCTAAGAAACTGTGCTGCCCTGTTCCTGGGTATGTTTGCTTGCTGCAGTCTAAGATTAGTGAATTGAAAGTGACCTATATTTCTAGTAGGCCTTGGCAGTCACAGTCATTTGAATCAGAAATGAACTCCAGTGCTTTTTTTCCTGTGTTGTTGTTGTTTAGTGAATACACTGTTGAACATTAGGATGTGTGCATATTGAAATGTATGTTTTCTCACATTTGTGGTATGAAAAAATCCATCGGGTTTGATTGATAGTATGTCATTCACTTAAAACAACAAAAGTTAAACTTTTTCCGAGAGGGGATGGGGTGTAAGGACGCTCCGTAAACAGAATGAAAGGCTGTAAAAGCTTCTTTGAAAGTAGCTCAGTCATCAGAGACAGACATAAAAGCAGCTCTTCTCTTTTGTACTGTAAGTGAAAAGACATTTAAAGATAGAAGGTCAATAGGCAGTTTTTTTGTTATTTTAGTATAAATTGAGGTTGACTTCTGTGGTTCTTAAAAGCTGTTGTTTTTTTCTTTACAGACGCTCTGATGCCTGAAACCATTAAGGACATTAAAAACTTATAATGAACTGATGATAATGTCCATCAAAAAGTTCTCAGTGGATGTTCAATAAGAGTGGATAACCATCATAATTAATCAGGACTCTCACTGGAGACTAAGTAGACAGAACCATGGCTAGCAAGAGGAAGTCGACCGTTCCATGCATGATTCCTGTAAAAGCCATGCATCTGCAGGATGACTTTGAGCGGGACAGACTGTCCCTTTCAACCAAGGACATTGGCTTTTCCGTTACAGAGGAAGCAAGTGGAAAAAGCAGTCAAAGTTTAGATGAGTCCTCTGGGCAAGAAGCAGGTGGTACCCATAAAGATGGCGGTATTTACACTTGTAGGCCATGTAACTTTGAGACCCAGGACCTAAATCTTTTCCTTGATCATGTCTACATTGGACACCTAGATTTCCGCATTGACCCTTGTTTCCTTTGTGTGGATTGCGGGATTAGTGCAGCAAAATTTGAGGGCTTGGCACTGCACAATGCCCGTGTCCATCCGAGTACAATAAAAACCACACTTCAGCTCAAAAAGAAGGACAATAGAATCATAGTAGAGCAGAGTCTTTGCGTGGAACCTTGTGAAAGCACTAGCTCTAAAGAATCTGAGATATCCATCACTAAGACACCAATCATGAAAATGCTGAAGGGTAAATCAGAACCCAAAAGGATTGTAGTTTCCCACCCTGCAACTGATGACCCTCCCCCAGTTATTACCAAAGTGGTGGAGAAAAGTGACTCTCCTGCAGTTACAGTCACTCATGTGCCCACTATTGTACACAATGGAGCAGCCAGCAAAGTTGCCTTGCCATCGGCCATACAGATTGTGAATGGCTCTGGGGCTTTGCCCATGCTGAAGACAGCTGTTACACAAGTCGTATCCGTTGTGCAGAACAGAAGTCTCAATCAACAATCTGCTCCAATCACTGTCTCCTCATCCCACTCCTCTTCGGCATCCTCATCAAGTACTAGGAATCTTCCAAAAGTAATGATCCCCATGAGCAGCATTCCTACTTACAATGCATTTATGGATAATAGCAGTTTCTTAAAGACATCCTTTAGCAAGTTCCCTTATCCAACCAAGGCTGAGCTTTGCTACCTTACTGTAGTCACCAAGTATCCCGAGGAGCAGATCAAGATCTGGTTCACAGCACAAAGGCTGAAACAAGGAATCAGCTGGTCTCCAGAAGAAATAGAAGATGCCCGCAGAAAAATGTTCAATACAATCATACAGGCAGCACCTTCAAACGGCCAACATCAACGTCAGACCCACCACACCACTACTCAACCAACTATCACAGTTCTGGGCACAACCGGCATCCCTCATATCTTACAAGGTAGACTTGTTGGGCAAGGAGGGGTTATTGTCACCCAGCCAATGATGGCTAATGGAATTCAGGTCAGCAGTGCCCCTGTTGCATTAGCCGTAACACCTAAACCTCAGGCTGCTGCAAAGCCTACTATGCAGGCCAGACCCACCGCAGCCCTGGTAGCCGATAAAGGAATCAGCATGGTTTTAGGCACTGTTGGTAGCAGCAGTAGTGGAAATTGCAGTAGTAGCAGCAGCAGCAGCAATGCTAGTACTAGCAGCGGTTCAAGCAGTATTAGTAGTACTAGCAGCTTATGTAGCCAGGCTAGTGTAATCAGTATTGGTAGCTGCAGCCCTGCTAAGTCAAATAGCAACAGTAAAGTTAAGGTCAATACACCGGGTACTAATGCCACTTGCATTCAAAGCAATGGTAGCATTGTGAAAAGTGAGGGTAAAGGCAATTCTGAGGCTAAAAGCAACATTAACAGCAAGGACATTGTTTCAGCTGCCAGTACCACTCCAGCCACGACCTCTGCATCTACGACTACAACAGATAGTGCCGTACCAAGTAAATCAGACTCCCCTATCTCTATGAACTCTCGTATATTCTCCACCACTAACTTCCTGGACCCCAGCTTTAACAAAACCAAGAAGTCACAGGAACAGCTGGCAGCCTTAAAGGAGAGCTTCCTTGTTAGCCAGTTTCCTAATCAAGAGGAAGTAGACCGACTTATAAGCCTAACTGGTCTGTCTGTACGTGAAGTGCGGAAATGGTTCAGCGACCGCCGCTACCACTTCCGGAATCTGAAGGGTTCAAGGTCAAGTGGCGGAGGTCAAACTGTTACTAGTGGTAGCCTTTCCCAACTGGAGACTCTTGCTGCTGTGGACCTGTCCGAAAACAGTAAACCCCCAGAGAGGCCCAAAACTCCCCAGCAGTCACCTCTCAGCCCCTCACAGACATCATCCCCGCCAACTCCAACACGGCGTCCTCCACGCCCCCCATCGCCAGATTTCACAGCGATACGGTACAAAGAGCGAGAGCCCCACCAGGTTCGTGCTTTGGAGGCCAGCTTTGCACAGGACCCAGATCCACCTAGTGAAGAAGTTGACCGGTTAAGAGTAGAAACAAAGATGACTCGCCGTGAGATCCACGGTTGGTTTGCTGAGCGACGGAGGAGGGTAGCAGCAGAGAAGAAGAAAGAGGAAGCTGAGAGGGCAGAAAGGGAAGATGATGATCTGGTGGGAGAAGCAGAGGAGCATCGAATAAACAAGGAAAAAAACGGCAGTGAGGAGATACATGAAGCTGAAGATTCCTGCAAGGAAACACAAGACAAAGAGGAGCAACAGAAGGATGAGACCGGTACTGAGCCGAAAGTTAACCCTATCAAAATCAATCTCAAAATGCTGAAAGTTACTGAATCTAATGGAAAAGGTGAACCCGAGGGCAGTCAACTGAATGAGGCTACCAAGGTGGCACAATCTATCTCTCAGACAACTGTTCCTCAGACCTCCCCATACCGAGGTAAGAAGACGCCCGAACAGCTCCACCTGCTGAAGCAAGTCTTTGCACGCACCCACTGGCCCAGTAGTCCCCAGTACAATGAGCTGATAACTAAAACGGGCCTACCGCGACCAGAGGTGGTACGTTGGTTTGGAGATTGCCGCTATGTCCTGAAGAACGGCCAGCTCAAGTGGCTTGAGAGTTACCAGACCATGGTAGATGAGGAAGACTTCCAGAAAGATAACATTAGTGTCCTAAAGGAGCACCTAGACAAACATGGTAAACTAGATGAGACTAAGTTGGAGGAGATTGTCACATCAAGTGGGTTAGGTGAGGAATCAATCCGGCGGTGGTTTGCAAATAAGATGCCACTTTTATTGGAGGAAAGGAACTCTGAGAGCACAGGAGGTGTGATGACTGAATCATCATCTGCAACCCCAACTGAAGCTGCTCCGGCGTCACAGCATCCAGACCATGAAGATGTAAAGGTGGAGCAGTCAGGAAGCAGCCTAATCTCTAAGGATCAAACCACGAAGTCAATAGTCGAGATATCAACAAATACTAAACAAGGTGATTGATGTTCTGCCATTTTAGCCATTTATTTTATAGCTTATTTGAGGATGGGATTAGCCCTTAGATTGTTTCCAGTATGAGGTTGTTTTTGTGTTTAATACTTGTGTTTCTTTTCGCAGAGTCTGACTGAAGAGGAGAGTGGATGTATGAATGAATGTGAAGCGATATCAGCCCATGGGATTACAGCACATGTGGCCTTTAATTGAAGGCTTTTTTTAAACGAATGACATATTATACTTTAACAGGAGCACTGGATAACATCTCTGCAAAAACAAAAACTCTCCCCCAATGAATATTCCCTTTTTCTCCAAGAGTTACTAGCTGTCCCACTGTTCAAGACATGATGTGGATTATCAAAGGTCAGGATGCACCCCTTCACCAGCCAGCTGCTTTTCTTATTTGGATAGGATAGAGGGGAAAACAGACCATGTCTTTGTGAAGTGATAGACCCAAGTTGAAGTCCATGGAGAAGTCTTTCTTGGATGTGTATTTCCTATCTTTTTCTTCTGGGGAGGAATTACCATTTTTAGGGGACTTATGGTGGTACAAAGCGCAAACTGCACAGCTCTCATTGAGCCCGTTTGTTTTTATTAAAATATGACTGACATAATTGCACCTCAGAGAGGTTGAGTTATATGCTGTAGTTGAGCATCAATACCGTGGCACATTTTCTTTTTTTTTTTAAATGTCATTGAAAGTAAAAGAAACCCATACAATCATGATTACTTGTGTCAAAACAGATTCACCAGTGTGAACGCTTAGGTTTGTATGATTTTTACAAATATTATTTGCAGAATAAATTTAAGATTAAAAAATGGTCATGGATTTTCCAACTTGAAAAGAAAAACATCACCTTTTCATTGTTGAATAAGTACTTTATTCTCAGGCTTGATTATGTTTCATATGAAAAGCTAAATTAAAACGTATACTTCCTCCAATATAGCATAGGCACATTACAGAAAAGGCTTGGTTTGTAAATAAGAACATTGGTAACAAAACGCCGACGCAAGAAAGCATAGAAAATGGCATACATGTCCAACAGGGAATCTTTCGTTGATGTATATATGTATGACACCAAGGCACATGAAAGATGATGCAAGAAAACAGCAGAAACGAATTTACAGACTGGAGAAGGGCTACAGAAGTACAAGGAAAGGGATTAACACTGAAAACAAATTGAGGGAATGTTGGCTAATTAGGAATAAATGTAAGGGAACTTGAGCGAATTCCCTCTGAAGGACTTTGGCCTCGTCTTTTCCTCTCAAAGCTTAGGAAGTGATTATGGTCCCTGTGTCGTTCTGTAATATTTCTAGATTGCATGATGCAATTTGCTATACACTAGAAAAAGAGAGGAATGACATAATTTATGCATGCATCCAAAGGCGCAAGCTGGTTGCTTGAATTGCACATCCCTCCATGTTAAAATGCCCCTTGTTTACAATTTTCAAATTAGTTAGCATTCCTGTATATGCCCAGTCTGGGGAAATTGAGGAGTAAATTCTGGAGCATCTTTCAGAGTCTGAGCTGTCATGCACAGAACCAAATAAATACTGTGACAATACTGCCATAACATAGCAGCCACAAGGCAAAAAAGAGGGGAAAAAACGGCAAACAGGTTCTCCATGGTCACCCTGCTCCATTAAAACACACCTGGACCCCATGGTAAAACGGAGAGCAAGGTAAAGCATCAGTAATGGAAAAATAATGCAACAGCATCGCAATGGCTTCTCGTATGGCTGTTAGACACTAACTGATTCTCAGAACTAGATGGCATGTGTATTTGTGCAGTTCGGTAACATCTGAACCTCTGCTGGCCAAACGAGAACTGCATGAAACGTATCAGAGCTACAATAAATATGGCCTTGTTTTTACTGTACATCAACTGTAAAAACTGAGGTTTAGCAGTCTTAGCCTGTTTATCAATCAATGACAATCTGTATTAGGGCAATACTATGGCATAACACAAAACTAAATGACAGCTTGGCACAAGGTATACATCTAAAGAAAGACTGACCAAAATGCCCCCTTACTCCTGTCCACAGAAGAAAAAAAAACAAAAAAACATATCCATAATATTTTCAGAATTATTCAACGTTCAGGGTGTTCTACTGACCCAATGAACTGAGACGGACTTATTTTGGTCCCAATTTTTTGTATAAACCACCTGCAGAGTCTACCTTTGGCTTTCTTTAAACAGACATCATGGTTAACACGCTACTAAATCATACATAAAATGTCCTCCCTATTTTGATCTGATAGGACAAAACATAATAAAAAGCCTTCAGGAACAAGACTTCTCAATTGCTAAAATGTGGAGAAACGGGAAACGATAAATCACAGAAATGGTGTTGGAGGAATAAAACGTTCTGAAATGAGATGGTCGAAGTCCTGTAAACTAAATACACAACGTTTCTGTTGCTCCCATAGCCTGAAAACCCCACCGGAGCGGTTTGTGAATTAAAGTCCACCCGTGCAGACTGGCAAAACATAAAACAAGGAGAGTGATATTGCTCTCTGGTCACTTGATAACGTCGTAACTTTGTTTAAAAAAAATAAAGGTTGTTAAAGGTCGAAGAATGTCTTCCTGATGCTCAGACAGCGACTGCTTCAATGAGATCTCCCATACTGCCACGTGCCTGTCTAAAAAAAACAAAAACACAAGAGCATCCTGGGACGTGTCAAACAGTTTAGTCCATCAACTCGGACAGAGGAAAGAGAAAGCGCAAGAATGCGAGAAACACAATTTAAAAAGGCCAAGCCCTCATGTTAAAACAAACTCGTATAGAAAAAAACAATTAACATTATGAAACAGATGTTTAAATAATAAAAAATAATCAATCTGAAATGAAATAAAAATCTGGAGTGAGAGGCTCTTTGAGAGCAGATCAGCTGCAACGCTTTTCTAATCGACAGCAAAATGGGGCACGCACACACATTTATATATTTATATATAGAAGCCAGAGAGATAGAGTACAGAAAAAGCATTATTACTCCATAAATGTTAACCTGGAATCGGTTTCAAAGTGATGAATGATACAGCCCCCACTCAGTTTTGAAACATTGGCCTTGTCCCCGATTCTCGCTCTGCATCAGAAGACCCCCGTCCCGTCCGCCGCAGGTTCAGATTGTAGCTAAGCAGATAATTGTTTGTTTCTGTCCGTGAGCCGCAGCTTCGTTCACGCCCCGCGCGGCCCGGAGCGGGAGAGAGTCGCAGAGAGAGGGGAGATCTGTCCGAAAACGCTGGCGATGACGATTTCCACAGAAGCGGGTTTCAATGCAGTCCTTGACATCATCAGCTCTGTGGGACCCTTGTTGCTGGCCTTGCGTCCGTCCGTCGCACGCTCGGGTTACGCTCGGTTGTCGGCGCTGACGCGAGCCCTGCGGAGCCTGCGAGAGAAAAGAAACATCACACACATAAGAGCTCAACCCTTTAGCCTGACTTCTTATCATCAGCATTAGATCCGGTCCACACTGCAGCTTGTGCTTGACGAGAAGCAGCCACTCAGACAGGAAGAGACCATCTAAAACTCGCCTAATTATACCTATGAACATTGGTAATTTGGAAATAATCTATTGTCGTAACTATGTAACAATTACCGGTTTGACGATAAATCATGATAAAATTCTCCACGGTTGTATTACCTTTTCATATTTTAAGTATCATTAAAACCGTATACAAATTACCACGATTTGAACAACGAAAAAGTAATTTCGTTTTGTGTGAAAACATGGCGTAAAGCTGGGAGGTTTTAAAAGAGTGCTAAGGGAATTATACAAATGAATATATGAATGAATTAATTATATGAATGTACCTCTGAAGGTTCTGACTGTCTTCAGAAACGATTAGATGGCATTTTGTTTTCATCTTCGCTCCATGTAATGCCTAAAGGAAGTGTTCTTAATCGCAATACTGCTTTGTCCACTGAGGTTACGGGAAACAGCTCTAATTCATCTTTTCCATAAGCGCCACCTGCTGTCAGCGAGTGGGTTTACAGAGACTTATATTCACATTCAGCTTGTGTGCAGTTTATGTCTGGACAAAAAACAGACCAAATTTGCATGGCCTTCTGTAAACTTTGACCGGTTGATGAAAAACAAGCTTATGTGGATTCTACACATTTAAACAATTTGGATAAGGTATGTAGAATTATTTATGGAGCAGATAAAATACATATAATAATTTATTAATCAATTATCATTTTCATTTTGACTTAACCCTTTTCTTTATTTAAAGGCTGAAACGTGAGGTTTACCATTTTATGAAACCTTTTCAAAGTTTTTGAACATTTCGTACATGTTATTTAAAATACGGAGTCGGACATCATTGGTAATTTTATTTTTTGTGTGTGTGTGTTTATGCAAACAAAAAGTCATTTTATTTGTTGATTTTAAATATAAAACTTGGTGAAATGATTTGTGTTAGTTTCCAGCACATTTTAACAATACCGTGATAATACTGATAACCGTGATAATCTTGGTCACTATAATCATAAGAAATTTTCATACCGTTACATCTCTAGTCGTAACATTGATTTCAGATTTAACAGCATTAAATGTCAAACAGTAATGGCGATTCATAGGTTTTTGGTCAGAATAAGTTACAAAATGGACCAGTTGTCATAGAATTTCATATTTTGCAGTTGAAATATTGTTTAACAAAATAAGCAATAGGTTACCATCTTTATTACATAGTTCATCATTGTTGGTATGAAAATTAGGGAAAACTAATAGTTGGGCATCACAATACGCTGAATAATTACTTTCAAAGAACACAAAACCATATTGCTGATAGAGGTCAAGAAATTGAGCAGACAAGTGTTGCTCATTCAGAAAATGAGATTCTGATGCAATTTGAAGCTGATAACCAAGCCTTCACAGAGATGCAGTTCACAGTCCAAAATGTGTGCAAAGAGATCAGGTCATATCAACCAGCAGTGTTGGGGTAAACACATTACAAGTAAATTGAGTTATGTAATCAGATTACTTTTAAAGTAGTAACTAGTAAAATAACAAATTACTTTTTAAATGTACTTTTTCAAAGAAGTAATGCCTGGTACTTTGTTTCTCATGTATTGATTGACAGCTCTCCTGTTGAGAGAAACCAGGAGTGCAGAGGCATTGTGTGCGCTGTGTGAACATGATGCTTACTGTAGTTCTAGACTAAATGTTAAAATGCATTTACTCATCTCACCGGCACAAAAACAGATTCAGTATTCCTCAAAACTAATAAAAACAGTGAAATGCAAACTCAAAATATGACCCAAACCTGCAGTAATGTTAAACAACATCCTTTGTTTAATTCCATTTTATTAACTCTTGCATTATTCATGCAATCCATAACAGCAGTGCAGCTTAAAGGTTTGTTTGAGCTGCGCCCTCTACTGTACAGACGTGAATTTACATTTCCTTCAGCCTGAGGAGTATTCATTTCACATTTGGTGTGAAATGGCTTTTACATTAGCCAAAAATAGAACTTTTTATATTAAAACTAACAAATCAAGCCCAGGCCAGATGAGAAAAAGTAACACAAAAGTAAAGTCATACTTTCTATAAATTAACTTTCTATAAGTAACAACTGGTGGCAACCAGTCAGTTGGCATTACACCAAATACACAAAATAATGTTCTTTTTGGCAACGTCATATGACCCCTTTAACAGTCCTTAATACAGGTTTAGCTGATTTTAGTTTCTGCCTGTAGGTCGGTATAAGATGAACCAAACTGATCAGAGAGCCCCAAAGCTGCCCGTGGGACAGAGTGATATGCATCCTTAATTGTTGTGTAACAGTGATCCAATATATCACTGTCTCTGGTAGGACATGTAGCGTGCTGTCTGTATTTTGGCAGTTCACGGGAGCCATTGAAAAGTTCAATATACGTCTGAAAAGCAGAGTGCACATTTCCAGTTAAAAATGCTTTTACAGGAAGTGTCGCCACTCAAATCAGCAGTGAACAAAACTAGTCAAAACTAGCCCACAGTCTAGTAAATGTTGGCATACTCTTAAGTTATTCGTGACCAATGAACAGCACATTGTGTGAACGAAACACCATGAGACCCTCAGACATGTCAGTAATGAACATTAAACGAGTCATTCATGTAGATTTTGATAAGTTAATTTCAGTTAATCGCTGCCATGTCTGGTGGAAGCCGTTTAGCCCTTAACCAAGGTAGGACACTACTTTTATACTTAAAGGGTCATGAAACCCCAGACTACTTTTTATGATATTTTAGCACAGGTGTCTGTGTTGCACATAGAAGACAGTGTTAGCATCCGTTAATTTAAATTGTTGGAGAAAACTGGTTAATTTTAAGCTTTTTTGCTCTATTTTCATCTTCAGTGTTTAAAATCTACATCGTGTTGACGTCACAGTTTGTACAGTTTGTACATCGATGACGCGTTGGTGTCTATTAAATTATTCATGAATGGATGCATTTATATAGCGCTTTATTGTGCACCGCTTTATAATCATGTGGGGGGGGGTTGTCTCTCCTCAACCACCGCCAGTGTGCAGCATCCACTTGGATGATGAGACTGCGTGTTCTTACCCTATGAGAAGACGCTTCGCTTAATTATTCACAACAGCTTGTGTTGATTTGCTATGACAGACACTTCAGACTGTGAGACCTGCGTACATTAACTTAGAGAAACGTTCATGGATCAAAGGAGTGTTTGTTTTTGCTTTGTGATAAGAGTTTGGCACAACTGGCAAAGTGGTACGACTCGGCTTGGCACGGCATGGCTTGGCTCGGCTTGCATTTCCATTGCAGTTTAGTACTGCTTTAGAGTGGGCGGGATTATTCACATGTTGTTATAGTTGCGCCGCCTCTACTGCCGCGACTCCTGAAAAACGTTTTCATTCCGCGTCGCCCCATCAAGCTCTCGCTGGATCCGCTCCTCTGCTATCAACGAGAGGAACGTCTGTACTTCCTCAACAGACAACGAAACAGCCATTTTTTGGTTGTT